TCCGAAGGGTTGCTCAACATAGACATCTTCCTTAATTACCCCGTTCAAAAAAGCACTCTTTATACCCATTTGATATAGTTTGAAGTTCTTGAAGCATGCAAAAACTAAGAGCATTCTTATGGCTTTTAGTCTAGCAACAGGAGCAAAGGTTTTTTCAAAGTCTATTCCCTCAATTTGGTTGTACCCCTTAGCTACTAATCTGGCTTTATTTTTTATTATTTTTCCTGAATCATTCACCTTATTTTTGAATACCCATTTTGTTCCAACAATACTTTATTCTTTAGGTCTCTTAGCTAACTCCCAAACATCATTCTTGATGAATTGGTTCAGCTCTTCTTGCATTGCTAGAATCCAGAATTCATCTCCTAAGACTTTATCTATACTTGTAGGTTCTATCATAGAGATGAATGTTGAATGACTAACCTCTTTCCTAAGTCCTTGCCTAGTCCTTACTCCTTCTGATGGGTCTCCTAAAATTAACTCTTTAGAATGACTATAAGAATATCTCCATTCTCTAGGCAAATCTTCCTGAGGTTCTAGTCTTTCTCCTAAGGTCATAATCTCTACTCCTTGAATTGCCTTTATTTCATCATCTTCAATTTTATTTTTAGAGGACTTATCTGATTCATTAAATACTACATTGGTGGACTCTTATACTACTAGGGTTCTCTTATTAAAGATTCTATAGGCCTTACCTACAGATGAATAACCTAAGAAGACACCCTCATCAGATTTGGGATCAAATTTTCTTAAGGGATGTTTTATATTATTCAAGATGAAGCGCTTGCACCCAAAGACATGTAAGTGTGAAAGGTTTGGTGTCCTACCCTTAAGGAGTTCATAAGGAGTTTTATTCAGCTTAGATCTAATGTTTACCCTATTTAAAACATAACACACTATGTTGACTGCTTCTGCCCAAAAGTATCTAGGAAGGGTGTACTCCGCTAACATTACCTTAGCAGCTTCTACCAAAGTTCTATTCTTCCTTTCTGCTATACTATTTTTTTTTTAGGTGTTCTAGGGGCTGAGAAATTATGTTCTATTCCTATATCTTAATAGAATGATTCAAATCTATCATTTTGAAACTCTCCACTATGATCGCTATGGATTGTTAAGATTTCACAGCCTAATCTTTTTTGGATCCATATGGAGAATACCTTAAATTCCTCAAAAAACTCATTCTTATGTGCAAGGAATATTACCCAAGTGAATCTATTGAAGTCATCTACAATCACAAATCTATAATATTTTCCACCTAGGCTGGCTGTACTAACTGGTCCAAATAAGTCCATGTGTAGGATTTCTAATGGCCTAAAGGTGATCACATCTCTAATTGAATGGAAGGATGATTTGACTTATTTTCCTAATTTGCAAGCATCACATAAGTGATCCTTAGTAAAGTCTAACTTAGGTACGCCTCTAACTAGATTTTTCTGAGTGATGTTTCTAAGTGTTTTCATACTAGCATGGCATAGTCTCATATGCCATAGCCACGAGTCATCAACTATTATTTTCAAACAAAATGAATTTGAACTATCAATGCAATCAAGGTCTAACATGTAAATATTGTTCATTCGTTTTCCTTCTAAAACTAGTTTATCATTTAAACTATCAGGCATTTATCAGACAAAAATTTTATGTCAAAACCTTTGTCACATAATTGACTAATGCTAAGTAAGTTATGCTTCAAAACATCAACTAATAAAATATTTTTAATTAAAAAATTATTAGCATTACCAATAGTACCTGAGCCTATCACTTTTTTGGTAGTATTGTCTCTCAATGTTACTTTGCCTCCAGTTCTGGTCTCTAGTATGATGAACTTCTTCATATCTCCAAATATATATCGCAAGCAGCCTCTATCCAGGTACCACATGCTCTCACTAGGTCATTTGTGAGATCATCCCTACAATTTCATTCAAAGATTAGATTTGGGAACCAAAGTGAGTTTGGGTTCCTCCTTATGCTTGCATGAATGAGATGTATGCATGTTATGCTGTGATGGATGCGGTTTAGGTCTCCATACTAAGTGTGTCCTATGGTGAATTATGCATGTACGGGCTATGTGACCTAGCATGCCACAAGAGAAACACCTAACACGAGGAAATGGATTCACTAACCTATTTGGGTGGTGTTGCCTCTTCCTAAAGTTGTGTGATGCATGCTGTGTTGGGGGTTGACTAGGTTGGGCTAATGTGAGTGATACAATTTATTTTTCTAATTCTTTGATTCTTTCTTGAAAAGTGTTATTTTGATATGTCAATCCATGATATTCTATTTTTAACAAATGCTCTTTGTGATTTACTTCTAATGCAAGTTTGTCTAATCTATGAAAAGCCTCTTCTAGTTCAACATGAGTGATTTTCAAGGTTTCATGCATTTCAGATAGTTCAATATGCTTCTTATTTAATGCATCATACTCATCAAGAAGTAGCATATGATCTCTATCTAAATCAGAATTTTTCTTAACTAAGTTAGCATGCTCAGTTTGTAAAGAATTGAATTCAATATTAAGACTAGCATGCATCTTTTGCAACTTCCTATATGAGTCATGGATATTCTCAGAAATAAGCAATAATTCTTCATATAAAAGTTGACATACCTCATCTTGATCCGATTGATCAAAGTTATCATTAGCCAGAAGACACAAATTTGTTACCTCCTTCTCTGCTTCTTCTTCTAACGATTCTGAGGCAGAGTCGGCCCGAAAAACTTTTTGTGTCTTCATCTTTCCTTTCTTGTACTTGGCTTTTTCCTCGCCTTTATCCTTAGTTGGTTGGTTCTTCAAGTTGGGGCAATCAGCTCGAAGGTGACCTGGCTTCCTGCACTCAAAATATATTGTATCAGATGAAACTTTATTAGACTTCAAGCTTTCATCTTTATTCCAGCCGTTCTGATGACACTTTTGTTTTCTCTTTAAGAAGTTCTTAAACAGTCAGGTCATCAATGCTATATCGTCTTCTTCCTCCCCTACAGAGCTGTCACTTTCTGAGTTGTTTGCTTTTAGTGCCACCGTTCGTTCCTTCTTCTTTTCACCTGCATCACTTTGTCTTTGACTCACTCCTTGTTCGTATGCAATGAGTGACCAAAGGAGATTATCAATAGAATAAACATTAAGATCTTTAGATTCAATGATAGCAGTTATCTTAGCATCATAAGAACTATGTAAGCATCTCAGAATCTTGTTAACTTTCTCAGAATTTGAAATCTCTCTACCTAATGCATGCAAGGATGTCACGATTTGGGTGAACCTAGTGTACATATCAGATATTATTTCGCTAGGTTTCATACGGAAGAGTTTTTAATCATGCATTAGAATGTTAAGTCTAGACTGTTTTACTTCACTTATTCCTTCGTATGTAATGCAAAGTCTATCCCAAATCTCCTTACCAGTAGCATAGGTAGAAATTCTCATATAATCCTCAGACTTTAATGCACAAAAAAAGCAATTTAAACCCTTAGCATTCAATTGGGCTAATTCTCTACCCTCATTGCTCCATTCATTAAAAGGTACTAGAGTTTTCACTCCATTCACATTTTTACATAGTGCAATATATCCATCATTAACTAACATCAAGAAAGAGGAAACTCCATAGAAGAGTTGCGAGAAAAGAGAGTGCTTCCAATCAGAGACAGAGGGAGAAGTTGTTTTAGAATCAATGGCTGAGGAGGATAAAGTAGTAAAATCAAGTAGTAAAATCAATAAAGTAAGCCATCAGGAGGAGGCCTCTCAATAGGAAGGGAACATAGGATGCTAGGGCACACTGAAACCCTAGCAAAACAAAAATAACTTTTCTAGTCCCTGATTTTAATAAAAAAAAAAAATCAAAAAAATAAAAAAATCAGTGAAGTATTACTATTTTTTCTTAACCCGATTTCTTGCAACACAACATTATCATTATACAAATTACCTTTTAATATTTAGTGGAAAAAATTGAGCTAAACCGACTTAAACCTAACATCAAAGATCTTAAGAAATTACATCCAGCCTATATTCATTATTATTTTCTTATTAATTCTCATCAAAACTTTCTTGCAACAAATTTTAATTAAAATTATTCTCCTCAACAATAAAACGTGCGCCTTCTTATGACTCGATTAAGGCTTTGTTTGTTTGAGAGTTTTTTTGCCTTTTCCATTTTCGGAAACGGATGATTTTTTTTTTTTTTTTGTTTGGTTCGTCAAATCACGTTTCCAATAACTCCATTTTTTCATTTTTCTGCAGTTTTGATAAATCTTTTTATATATGCTTCTCCGTTAGAAAACTCCATTTTCTGAACTAATATTTTTTAAAACTGTCTTTTACAAAAGCACCCAAAAAAACAAATAAAGCCTAAGAGAGTAACATATAAGATCCAGCAGCTTATGTTAAAAAAGGTTGAATTCGACCTAAAAAATACTTAATTAGAAATTATTAAAAATAACATATTTTTAAATTTAAATGAGAATTTAACACTTAATAGGACATTGAAAATAAAAGTGATATACCTAATCTCACATAATGAGATAAAAACTTCATGTAATTCTACAATAACTTAGCAAACTCATGAGCAAGCTGAAACACCTACAATTGAGCTCAAGCTCGAACTTAAATTCAATTAATTAATCAAATTTAAGCACAAGCTACAATGGCTTCGGCTTGGCGCAACTTCTTTACATCCCTATCATAGCATCTTAACGCAATTCATGCAATCAAAACATACGCTTCAGCCCTACCAATGGGAAAGGGTTTTTTAAGGAAGAAAAAAAAAAACAAGACTGAAAATAAACATTCGCAAAATGAACTACAGAAAATTCGAAATTGAACTATATATATACCCTACTGTGTTATGCGGGTAGAGCATCATTCAACAGAATCATCTCAGCTTCACATTAGCCTGATGATTCACAGATATCTAAAACCTACCAAAATATTGCCAAAGCAGCCTTCTCTCCCTGATTCAACCCTCAAAGAAACCCTAATCTGAAGAATAAGAATCCAGTTGCTTACCAATGAGTTGTCAATTTCCAGCGTTAGACCATCCAACAGAGTAGGGAGGCAGGTCCTGAAAGTCATGGTTGGAGTTGCTGCAATGCCCAATGTTTATAGGACACCTTCGATCATCATCGTCAGAATCACTCGAAGATACCTGAGATGGGGGGCTCAGAGGACCAAATCCTGACATCTGAGGCAGACCTAACAAGGACTCGTGCGTTGATGGTTTCGGCTTTGGCGGTTTCTTTTTGGCAAGAAAACTACCCACCACCACCTGAGAATGATTAAGCAGAGTTACAAGATGGAATGCTTGTGAGATTAAAGGATTCGTTTGGGACGATTTTCTTAATGCTTCTTAAAACATTTTTTAGTACAAAAATTAAAAATTTTGTCCTCGAAAGTTACTTTAAGAAATAGTAAAAAAGATATCCCAAACAAAGCCAAAAAGAAAAAAGTACCTGAACAGGAGTTGCCGCCATCAATATTCCAGCTACGACGCCGCCAAGAACATAACCATCAGATCCTGCCAGTTCCACGCTCAAGCTGCCAGTTCTAGTAAGGACACCGTCATTTTCCGTAAGCAAGAAAGAGACTGACAAAGAGATTATCTCAAACCGACCCTGAAAGAACCTCCACAAATTAGAATATTTTACGTGCCAAATAAAAAAAACATAAACTTCGATCAGACGTGTATGTAAATATCATATCATCATTCTCACTATAATCATCCATAACACTTCTCCACGAAAAATGCTATTTGAAACACATTTTCTACAAAGATTCGGGGCATCGTGGCCAAAGCCATCTCACCATCCTTAGTGCATCAAAGTTTAGACTTAGGCTTTGTTTGGTACGGCTGGCTTACTGCTTCCTAAAGTAGTTTTTTATACAAAAATTTTATTTTTTTATTAAAAAGCTGTTTTAAGAAGCAATAAAAAAATTGTCCCAATCAAAACCTTAATAACTATGGCCCATTATATTTCACCTATGACAGTCAATGTGAATGTTTATTTATCATGTATGACGAAGTACAATGTTATTTACAGGGATTTTAAATATCAAATCATGAACCAATATGGTTTATTTGGATTAATGGATAAGATGACATGGAGGGAAGAGTGGTCCCCACTCCCTTCAGCCACGCCACCTTTTCTTTTTCTAGGAATCTCGAGATCTGAAGTACAAATTTAATGCATGTGATACTCAATCCTACAGCCTTGGCCATAACTTTCATAATCATTACCAACTAAAGTAGAAGGCACCTCATTGCCTCCACAAATTAAAATATTTTACACATCAACTAAAAAAAGAATACTCTTTGACTAAACATGTATGATCCTCATTTTTTTTTTTTTTGAAGGAATGCATAAAGCAATATTATTAAAGAAAGGTAATAAACAACCTATTACGTGATTGCTCCACAATCACAGTCCTCTTTAAGTAAAGAAAAAAAACAAGGAGGATATTGCTAAAGAGATCATCCCAAAAGAAATCTAAAGAGCAAGCATAGTTAGCACAAAAATCTGCTAACTTATTGCTATTTCTATGAACAAAATGGAAAATCACCTGATTAAATTCCGAAAGAAAAGATAAGTCCCAATTGCATTTTTCCTCTTCTTCACCAGGTTGCTTATTAAAGATTTTCAAAATAAATAATATTTTTATTATCTCCCTCTATGATAACTCCTTTGTAGTCATATCTCCATTCCAAAATGAAATATTTAATAGACAAAATTGCTTGCATCTCCATTTGAGCTGAATCCCAATGCTTATATTTCGATCCAAATGCACATAGAAATCTCCCTCTACGATCTCGAAAGACTCCACCAATTCCTGCATCGTAATTCCTTCTAACCGAGGCATCTATGTTTAATTTAATCCATTCGGGATGAGGAGGAAACCAATGATAGGACAGCTGTGAGAGCTGGTTGGTTTCCCAGTAATCCGAATTTCTTTTGAATGATGCTTCAACCATGCTTATAGCATTGGCTGCTATGGAAGAAGAACTAATTTCCTTTCCACCATGAACAAACATATTCCTATTATTCCAATTTAAAAAGACTGCAGAACAGTAAATGATTCCTATAAAAGGATTAGTATTAGACATTAGTCTCAAAGCTAAATAACAACCCTGAACTGAATTGAAAACAGGAATTGCGAATCCCCAGCTTCTAATCATATTGAGAATCTTTATCAGCTTTTGGCAATTCAGCATGATATGGAATTCATTTTCTATAGAATTGCAGCCTCTCAGGCATTCATCATTACTGGACATTTTCCTGTATATCAAAAAAGCTTTTGTAGGAATTGCATTAATGCCAAGCCTCCACCAGAATAAATTCACCCGTGGTTTAAGCTTAAGTTTTTTTCTCCATATCCAGTTTGGATCTTCACATCTGTCCAATTCAGCTTCCATTGATATTAAGGATGAGAGTGATTTCCCCGAAAATTGGTATTTAAGTTCCAACTGATCTTCATCTGATTCAGAATAAATATGGACCTTATTAATGATCTCAATCAAGTCAGGTCCAAAGAGTAACTTCAATTTATCGGCATCCCATCCACCTCTATTGATAAGGAAATCCAGATTTTGATTAATCGAATCTATGTTAGAGACAAAGGTAGGCCATCTGGATATGGATTTATCAAAAATCCAAACATCCTGTAATATGTTGATATTGTTTCCTGTAGAAACCTTCCATCTTAACATATTTTTAAGAGCTTTATACCCAAGGAAAATAATTCTGATAGTAGGAGAGCTTTGCTGTTTAATCTGAAAATCCCAAAGCTGATTTCCATACTTAACTTTCAGAATTCTGTAGAGAATAGAATTAGAACTAGATATCAGCTTCCATGCGAATTTTGCCCGAAGTGGACCAGCCTTGTATACCATGGATTGAATACCTTGTCCTCCCATTTTTATAAGCTGCAAAGAACATCCCATGAAACATAGTGTAACCCTTTACTACCATCATATTTATTCCACAAAAAGTCTCTACTCATTCTGTCCAATTCCTTTAGTACTCCCAAGGGTACTAAAGAATGAGTAATGTGATATATTGGTAATGAAGATAAAACAGATTTGAGAAGTTGAATCTTCCCAGTTAAAGAAATGTATCGGTTACCCCATACATTTAAATGTTTGTTTGCTTTGTCCAGCAGATGAAAGAAGTCTGTCCGAGAGGACCTCCTCAATTCTATATTGATTCCAAGATATTTCAGATCTTTAACTACCTTGAAATCCATAATTTTTGCCAATCTCCTACCTCTCATTTTATGAACCGAATTCCCAAATAAAATGGAGGATTTATGAACATTAATCTTTTGCCCAGTCCAATCACCGTAATGTTTCAAAATCTTCTTAGCTATCTTGACCTTTTTTCTATTGGCTTTTAAGAACAGGATTATGTCATCCGCATACAAAAGAAGGGAAATTTTCTCAGCATTAGGAGCAACTTTGATACCCAATTCCTTCCCATTATGCATAACCTCATCAGAGAGAAGTTGAGAACATAAGATGAAAAGAAATGGAGATAGGGGGCAACCCTGCCTAAACCCCCTTTTAGCCTTGATCCAATCAGATTTGTTAACGTTAATAATAATGGAAAAATTGGAACCAGTAACACATTGAATGAGATAATTTGCAAACTTATCTGGGAAACCCAAATTCTTCAAGACTTGGATAAGAGTAAACCACCCCATACTATCATAGGCTTGCTCCATGTCAATTTTAATAGCCATAAGTCCTTTTTTAGATTTAGAAAATCTCAATTTATTACAAACTTCTTGGGCTAGTGAAATATGTTCTGAACCAGATCTACCTTTAATAAAAGCCGATTGGTCTTCAGAAACTAGTTTAGGAATGAGACCAATCATCCTATTCAATAGCATCTTGGCTACAAGCTTATAGATAGATAAACATAAACTAATTGGTCTAAAGTTGGAAGGAAAATTTGGGTTATCAGTTTTTGGTATGAGGACTACCAAAGTTTCTTTCCAACTGGGACTCATAATGCCTTGTTCAAAAAAAGAGCAAATAGCCTTCCAAACATCTTCTTTAATGATTAACCAAAATTTTAAGAGTAAGATATTCCATCAATACCTGGAGAGATGTTGGAGTCAAGATGTTTAACCACTTCTTCTAATTCTTCTCTTCTGAAATCTTCAGCCAGTATTTTTTTATCCTCTTCATTCAATACATTGTAAGGTTTAGGCCAACCTGACAAAAAGCACTCCTTCTCTTCCCATTTGTCTTTGAAAAAGTCATAAAAGATGTTTTCAATTTGCCTTTGTTCTTCGGTAACATTTCCATTCTTATCCTTAATCTGCTGAATCCAGTTAGAGTTCCGTCTCCCAGATGCATAAATGTGGAAAAATTTGGAGTTTGAATCACCTTCTGCCAACCATTTTGTCTTTGCTCTTTGCCTCCACCATGTGTTAAGACGAGATAGAGTAATATTCAACTCATGAATTTTAGATGTCAGCAGCTGTAACTTACTATTGGACAGACCACCAACTTCAGCTTCTTCTAATTGCATTTCCAAAATTTCTTTCATCAGATTTTCCTGCAATAACTTCAAATCCTGGTGCTTGGATTTACTCCAGTAGAAAAGAGCTTTTAACACTCTTTTAAATTTCTTATTTAAAGCATTAACTGGGTCTCCATTCATATTCTTTTTCCAAGAGCTGTTAACGATTCCAGTTGATGCTGCATATGAAGACCATACTTCTTCATATCTTATCATTCTGTTTTTTCGAATTACTGGACTCATCAGTCTTAATAAAATGGTGCAATGATCGGATGCTAGTCTTGGAAGGTGTTTTATAACAGGTTTTTGAATTGTTTGTATAGCTATCGAATTCAAAATGCATCTATCCAATCTTTCCACGATCCGTGCTCCTCCTGTCTTGTTATTACACCAAGTAAATCTTGGTCCAATGAATTTCAAATCATGTAGATCACATGAGCTTATAAAATTTCTCATATCTTGAACTCCCTGAGAAAATTTGAATTTTTTCCCTCCTTGGTTGTCTTCTTGAGATAGAAGACAGTTGAAATCTCCTCCTATGATAATGGGCAAATCTGAGTTGGAATTTTCTTCAAGAGTTTTCCAAAGGCTCCTTCTTTTGTATAAATCATTACTCCCACAGATAGAAGCAATGAGCCAAACACCTTTATTGAAGATATTTAATTCTCCCACAATAGCTTGAGAAGAAGTCACCAAAACTGAAAAGGAAGCAAGATCCTTTCTCCAACAAACCATAAGTCCTCCTGAGAGTCCTTCTGCAGGAATTATATAATAATCCCATAAATTGCCAATGAACCTGTCACAATCCTTTCTATCAAAGGAAGATATCTTTGTTTCAGATAGCCCAACAAAGATTAAATCATTCTCCTTAATGCATTCATTCAAATAATTGGAGGCTTCTTTTTTCCTAGCCCCCCTACAGTTTCAAAAAATTATTGAAGTCATTATTCTTATTCCCGAACAGGGATTACTCCCTTTCCTACCTTTAACAAGACCTCCTCCTTTTCTCCCATGAGAAATAATATTATCCTTTCCCAAGGATTTCAGCTCTTTTTGTAGTTTAAAATCTGATTTATGAAAGGGAATACTTGAGTTCGCCGGTAATCCCTTAGAATTTACCAGAGTTCGCAAGCAACCCGTCCCGTTGTTGTCATCTGAATGAGAATCATTCTTCTCCAGGAATTCAACTTGAAGATTGTCATTTTCCAGCTCTACATTTCCATTTAACTCTTTAACTATTTTAACTTCTTCTGTTGTCAAA